GGGGCAAGGGGATAGCTACATCCACAGTTCGAGTGCAAGCGGCCTGCATCTTATAGGCTTCGACAAGGGAGCAAAAAGATCTGACTTTTGGTCCAATAAGATAGACCAGGGGGGAAGAACACGAGAATTCTTTCCCCGACTGGTATCGCAATATAATAAAAGGAAGGGCTGAGAAAAATCTCTCCTTTTCTTGGATAATTTGTTCAAAAATTAGGGCTTCGATTATGGCTTGTGGAGGAAGACGAAGCCGAGTGGCGCGTAGGAGCGATGAATATAAAGAGGTCGGGGCTGGATCCTCTATCACTTCCCGACAGGAACAAGCAATCTCTCCATGTTTAAAGTCGACGCTTGGTCTTCGTGGACACGACTTGTATTCCTGATGGAATAATTTTGGTGGGTTATGTTCGATGCTTGATGAAGAGTGGTATCTCAAATTCCGGAACCCCGTCAAGCGGGCGGGCCGAGGCATGAATCGAATTAACGGCTGTGATCAGAACAACGGTCTCGATAAGCCGCCACGGTGGGACCACCGGGCATGGTGGCGGAGACGGCAGAGATCGAGTCGGGCCGCACCAAATATGGGGCTCAAGCGGGAAACGTGACACTTCTGCGACCCCACTTGGTTTTCGGACCCAGAGGTCCACCTGTCTCTTTATTGGACAGAAGTTGCAAGACCCACTGCCTGGGTCGTCGACGAGGAGGGCAGGTAGAAAAGTGAGTAGTCACGGAAGGCTAACGCAATAGTTTTGACATGAGGAACAAGAGACAGTTATTCGGACAACGAGAAATGGGAGTTCCCGCCACATTAGGCATTGGGAAGTGCCATAATTTGGTGTGATTCTCCGCATATGCTCCGCCATCACCGCAACAATTCCGACTTTCCAAGTACTGTGTAATAAACAGTTCTCTCTCTCTCTCTCTCTCTCTCTCTCTCTCTCTTTGCTTCGTCAGTATCTTGATAACATAAGGAAGGAAGGAGAATATACCTAATCTCCATTGTCCATGTAGAAACATGGGTTTCAACATCTGGCCTAGTCCAAAAACAAGAAAAATCTATCTTGATATCAAGACACTTGCGATGAAAAAGACATGAGCTATCGTATCATATCGAACACTTATCTTGTGTCAGTGGTGAGGAGGCCTGGTTCACGCCACCCATCAATTATTTATCTGAACTTGTATATTTGATATCAGGGAAACACTGAGACGACATAAGGAAGGCTGTGTTCATGCCATCCATCAATTACGCATCTGAAACTATTCATTTATCAGGAAAAATGGCTGAAAAAGAAAGTAAAACACTGTTCATGGGACCTGAACGAAGATCATTACAACATGGCTGCTCTACAATTCTTTCTCTCTCCTTTTGTTTTTGGTTCACATCAAAATCTCAACTGTGGCAGCAGAGGATGAAGATGATGGTATGGTGGCTGCTTCTGACCTTGCCGAATCTAGTTATCAATCTCAGCATAAAACCATCTGTAGCTATGACAAAAAACAAAGAGCTTGTGAATGGTTCCTTGGCTCTTTAAAGACCCGACAAGCTCTTTTGTGGGAGTCTGAAGCTGGGGTTCAAGAGATTTAGGATAAAGGGATTGTAGGGTTGATGTTCTAATCAGGGTCTTTGAGAACCAGTGGACCTCAACATACATAGCAATCACAAAACTTTGGATCTTTAATTTCTTGGTCAAGAGGTGATCCTACCTGTGTGACCTATGCAGTTTAGCTTGAGCTTGAAATTGATCCCTTCCTTTTGCTTTATAAACCATTGGATATGAGATCCAATACAAGTTTTTTTGTCTTGATTGTTGTTGGTATTTTACTAGTGATGTCCACCAAAATTCAATTAACTTTTCTCATCTGTTTGCAACATGAACTGTTTTGGTTTGTCAAATGAATGGAAGAGCTGTTTGAATGTATCATTTGGGTGAATTGCTTTATATCTGATTGTTCATATTGACTATAATTATTTAACCTAATTAGTAAGTCACCAGTTTGATTGTTTTAATCTCAATCAAGATTCAACTTAACATTTATTAAGAATAAAAATACAGCATATGTCTTTGTTCAACTAAATGGTGGGGTCTAATTAGATCAAAAGTAAGCAATTCAATGAACATCATCCAAAAAATAATCTGAAACCCTATGGATATGCTCATCAAACACATATAAATAAACCAAAAATTCTAAATAAATGTTTTTCTATGTATTGTGTGAAAAGTAATTAATTGTTGACATAGCAAATCCCTATGCCAAATATCATGCCATGAATGAATTGTTAATCAATTTATAATAGATAATTAACAAATTCATGATAGTTCATTATACCTTTTTTTTATTATTTTAGTGACTACCAAATGGTACATTATTTTTTTACTTTATGCAAGTATATTCATAAAGGACATTAAAATTCATACTATTGAGATAAATATAAGATATTTAGGAAATACATGACTTATTTATCTTTTTTTAATTTTATATTGACGAAAATCTTATGGACTAACTTAATATACCGTTTTCGATTCAACTGTTCATTTTAGGCCCATATCCAATATTGGCCAAACCCATATATGATATTTGGAAATCATATTTTGTTTTTAATTTGTTTTTTACTTATATCTCTATTTTATGACATTTTGAGTAAATTTGTTTCAATAGGCTTACTATGTTTTAGCCAATGTTTTAATCAAGTCATATCAGTAGCTTTCATCCATAATTCTTCACAGAAAAGCCAACTTGATGGTGGTGTTATATGACTTGACTCAAACCTAACAAAAGAAAAATTATTATCTGACAAATTAAAATATTGTATGCAATTTTCCCAATAATTATCTTATTTGTGGAAAAAAGGCAAAGCAAGTTCTTACACAAACTAAAGTAAGCTTGCCCCAGTTTTGAAGCAACTAATAATCTAATACTATTATTTACAATGGTTCTTTTTCTTGAATTGGAGAAAACTCAAGTATCAATTTTGACCTCTTTTAGTTGGATGTCTCAAGAAATTTATTTATATCAAAACATGGGGAAAACACATGAATTAAATTCAAGTGCTCAACAATCAATACCAAAACAGGAAAATTCACTGAGCATAGCTGATAAGGATTCCTAATTGCTATATTTTATGTAAATAGTGGTGCCATGGGACCCTCAATTCTTCTATCTTGTGATGAAAACAAACTTGACATTGCCTTCTCCACCAAAGTCATGGTGAAGGGACACAGAGGCAACCAGAAGAGAACACACCCTTTGCCTTTCAAGCTCACACATTTCTTTCACTCCATCAGATCATTGACCATTCACAGCCAAACAAATGCAGGGAAGATCTATCCCAAAGCCTAAAGTGGGTGAGTGAAAGGCCACCAAAGAGGTCAGTTAAGGGGAGCTTTCACAACCTTCTTCCCTCCAACCTACTTTAACTCTCATTTTAATATGTGTCAGAAAGCAAAATTGTATATGTTTCAGGCTCATATAACTTTTCATCATGATATTTCTCAAAAGATGAAGTTTGGAGGTTATATTTTCAGTCATATTCTTCCAATCTTGAGTTTAAACATCTTATGTCATGTAAATATTTTTCAGAGATGTTATTGCATCAGGAACTTAAGATAAATAATAAAAATTAAATTATCAATGTTGACCAGTCATGCTAGTTATTATTTGATTACAAGAAAAAAAAATAATATAACATATGGCTTGGCTGTTAATATATCATATAATGTTAAACAGGACAATCATTTGATTTAATCAATAAAAACATTAAAATGTTGTCTTTTCTCTTTTCTTTTTTTGCCTTATTTTGACATGAATAAAAAGTAAGAATGGAGAGGGAGAGAAGAGAAATCTCTCATTTAATTACAGAAATATATCGTTTATAGGCCAAAAAAAAATTCTTGATCATTAATTTATGGAAATGGAAATGATATCGATCGAAGATTTCAGATCTGAAAGAGAAAGAATCAACCAAAAATGACCCTAATTCACATCCTAAGCAACGCATCAGTTGCAATCAATCAACCGGTTCGATACCGAACCGGACCGAACTGCTGGACCGGCCGGAACCGACGAAGAACGTGGGTCCCGCGTTGACCGGTCGTCTGCTCCGAGTATCTAACGCTAGATTCGCTGCGCACCCGCGCACCAAAGTGTACTCACAGTAGTTCTATGCGACCACATATCTGCCGTTCAAATATGGCATCGCGTCATCCGTGCCGTTCAATCTAAAAATAATCATCCAATACGATCTTAATGCGCTCGATTACTATTTTTCCTTCTGTCCCGGTGCTGTCGCCATCAGTTGTCTTTACTTTTTCTTTCTTCTCTTTCTTCCGTGTCTTCAGATTGCACTCATGGCACGCTTCCCGCTCTGTTTCCCACTTTAGGCTCAAGTCCCAATACGTTCTGCTGCTGCGTACATCCCACGTTTCTCTACTTATATACGGTCCGTATACATGTATACATGATATACGGAGAGAATGAACTCATGGCGAAACAGTAGGGCTGTGGAAGGTTGGATAGAAATAT